TCACTTATTTTTATGGCTTTTACTCAAACCTGGCTGCACATTAGAGCCACGTGGGGAACTCCCAGAAGAAAGAGATTCTCATTCAGTATGCCTGGGATGGGATACTGAAATGGTATCTGTTTTGTTTTTCTTCAGTTGCCTGAAGCAAATGTAAATAGGTGGTCTTATTTACATCTAGGATTGAGAACCACTGGATCTTGAAGAGACTATTTGTGACTTCTTAATGTAATTAGATACTCTTAGTATAACTAAGTAGGCTTGAATTGCAAACTGGGCAAAATTTTTAACCTCTTTTAAGTCTACTTTTGTCATCTTCAAAATAAATTAATAGTACCTACCTTGTAGGTTTTCAAGGATTAAGTGATACAATACAGGTAAAATACTTAGTTTGGTCTCTGGCACATAGTAGGAACTCTAATACTATTATTTAGTAACATGTAGCATGTTATAACAGAGGGTGACTTTGGAATCAATCAAAATTTTGTCTCAGTCTTGGTTCTAAACTTTCCAGCTCTGGAACCTTAAGTAAAACACATTATTTCTCTGACTCTCTGGCCTCTTACCTATAAAAATAGGAATATGTGTGTACAGTATAGGAGCGGTGCTTAAGACAAAGGAGGTGCCCAGTGAGCCTTTCCTTTCTGTCACCTTCCTTTTGTTCTGCTTTCTTATCACATCACAGGGCAGTGGAAAAATGTAATTTCAAGAACATCATTGACTTTGGTGTGGCCATGCTATGTTGAGATGTTATTACAAATGGCCTTTTTGGCTATGACTGGCTATTGTCTTGGGCATGTCCGTTGGATCCCTCAGGAAACAGTTGTGGACCCAAATTGCAAACAGAGCTGACAGAAAGAGTTGTGTTCCCTGCCCTTCTGCCTCAGCAGCTGTCTCCTGTCTCCTGTTTTCCTTGCACTGAACTTGTGATGCCTGTGCAGACTGCCTGGGATTCTGTCCTTTTAATTTTAATCAAGCTTTCTTTGAGATGCAAGTTTATCCTGGGGCTTATGAAGGACCCACAGTCTCAGAAATCTTCTGGAGAGCTTAACAGATCACAACCTTTATTCTGTTCTATAATCTCTTAAACTTGTCATATTTATGAGTTACTTATAGAGGCTTTTTGTATTCCTAGGTTTCTAAGAAATTCAGTGTACTTATTCTACCATTCCATCCTCATATTCTATTTGACCACCCAGAATGGGGAAAGGGACAATGGCTGAAGGTGACAAAAAGCTGTGTCATGAGCCGAATTCTTGCATTATCAACAAATCTAGTAGTTCTTATTAGTTCATATTGCTAAGGCAGGTCATATTTCTGTGACTATTGAACTGTGACTGTTGAAGTCTTTCTCTTTTCATTTCTGTTCTTTGTCATCAAAGTAACTGGACTGCGGATAGTACTAAGGCATCCCCTTTAAGATCTGGTGAAACATGTTCAGCAAGATATTTCTAGCACCTCTGGAATGAATTCCATGTTTGGTTCAGACCCAGCTTCATGGACTATTATAGTTTAAATTGAGAAGGCACTGAACTAAAAAAAAATATGGTAATGTATTGTTGTTCATCAGTTATCCTTTTGAGTTACGCCATTATTTTGTTTTCTGAAAGTCCATTTTGTAATTGCAGTTTTCTAATAAATGTTCAAAATATGAAGTTTGCCTAGAATCATTTGGGGAACCATTCTCTGTGGTTCATTAAAATGGAAAGGAAGAAAAACAAATTAATAGTAAAATCCATTTTCGTTTGTGTTGTTCCTGTCCCTCTCTCTCTGAGGTGTAGTGTCTTTGGTTAGTTATCTAGATTACATAGCTCTAGCAGTTGGAGATGAGAGGAAAAGGAATTGTCACCTTGTCAGTGCCTCGTGTCTAAGAGATGCTTTGCTGAGGTCCTTTGAGAGGATGGTTGGCCTTGGCAGACCAGCCACCTGAGATTATAGAGCAAACTGATAGGAAAATCAGAACGAAGGAGGAGAATTCAATGGATTTTAAGCATTCTTTAAGTCCTGTATCTTCTGATAAAGGGGTTGTGTAAATGAGGGGTGGTTTAGCTGGTATAGTTGGCACACACTTGTAATCCCAGTGACTCGGGAGGCTGAGGCAAGAGGATCTCAAGTTCAAGGTCAGCTTAGACAACTTAGTGAGAACCTTTATCAAAATAAGAAATAGGTGGTGGGGTATGTAGCTCAGTGGTAGAGTGCACCTGGATTCAACCTCCAGTAGTGCATGCGCATGTGCATACAGATCCGTGCACACACACATACACACACACAAAGGGTTGGTTTCTTTTTTGTTGTGTCTATTTCTGGAAGTTCTCACAGTGCTTAACAATGAGCTCAGTAGCTTCTTCATAAATATGAAATGAATGGAAGTAAATTACTACTGGAGCTTTGAAATGAAGCCCTGGAATGCTGAGGGGAGAAGGAAAATCAGGAGATTCAAAGGTAGGAGGAAAACAGCTTGAGTACTTGTGTATTCAGGGAAGGATATTAAGAGGGGTTTGCACTTTCTAGGGTGGTACTGTGATGTTCTCCGGGTAAATGCTTGAGAGTGGTCCTCCAGGTGAGTTAGAGCAGCAGCCAGTAGGCCCATAAAATTAACTAATAGTTCTTTTTTATTACCTAGTAAAAATGAGGTAATGGGTAAAATAATCCTCATGTTATTTTTTTTCTTCTCCTTACATCTTTGGTCCTTGCTATTTTTGATCAATACTGAAAACTTCATAAAATGGTTTCTTCAGAACTACAGAGTTATAAGAGTTATTTTTAAAAATGTTGAAGGGGTCAGTCAGTACTTTACTGAGATCCCCAAAGAGCCCTGTGGCTACCCTCCCCCCCCCCCCCAGCTCAGTGGACAAATTTGAGAACTACTGGACTCAAGTGTTAATGAAACAGAGCTCACCTGAGACCAGTTAAGAGAGGGCTTCACAGGAGTTTCTGACAAGTCCAGGAATTGTGTCCTATAAAAGGTAGTTCTTATTATGTTGCTCTTGTCCATTCCCTGTGGGCTAGCAGCTGATCTAGCAGTGTTATCCATTCAGTATAGGAAGAATACCATTGCTTTATCTACTCACCTTACCAGTCTTTTGAAACAAGGCATCCATGGGGGATGCTTCTGTTAAGTGGGATTGTGTGTCTGTAATACTAGTGTGGAGAAGGCCAGATTTAGGGTGGCAGCAGAGAGAAAGACAAATGGTTTATTTTCTTTTGTGAAAACGCCTCCGCCTAGTTTTATAGAACTTGTTTCTATCTAAAAATTTTCTCTTTAACTAGACCATGTGAAGGATTTGCTTTTTTGAGTTAATTCAGACAATTAGAAGAGTAATAAAGATTGTTATTTCCTGTCTGCTAGATTGATTTTTAAAATGCTTCTTGTTTAGGGGGAAGTAACTTATCACGATGATTTCATTTTCATATTATAAATCTGGTGCATATGCAAGTTTTAAAAATAAATGAATATATTACATAGCTCAGATGATCTAAGGCCTAGGAAAGGCCAGTTGGAAATGTGTAGTAAGTAGACCAGAACAGTGGGGATTATAACATTTATTTTCTATGATGCAAGTTGCACATCTTTAGCAGAGCATCAGTTGGCATTTCTGGATAAAGAGTCAATCATTTTATTTCAAGTTAATTAAAAGATAAGTAGTGTGGGAGTTATATGGAGTGGGCACAGGGCGGAATGGAAATTCTCTTTTTAGGCTAAAATTTGGTAGAAGGTTCAGATGGTGGCGTGGTATATTTTGTAAATTTAGCAAATTATTCTAAGAAGTGGAGGTGGCAGGCTAAAAACTCTGGGCTCTCAAAAGACAGCAAGCCTTGGAATAGAGGTATAAAGAGCTTTTAAACATAGGCTGGAAGTCCAGTAAATGTTAGTTTCTCTGTTCTTTTCCCTGTACTGCAACAGGAAGTGATAATCGTTCTCCATTGTGCTCAGGCACATGTGGGTGATGGTGCTGCTTACAAGATAGTTGGGTAGGAGAAATTAGCTCACGCAATTCAAACCATTCAGCAAATACTTATTTAGTTGATATGGATATATGAATAGCTAAAATAAATGAATAGAAAAATAAGCATCTTGATGTTAGGTTGTGTGCTAGATGTTGTGAAAACCAAGCAATCAAGTTTCCAACACTCTTTCAAGGAGCTTATGGATTCCATGGAGTGAATGGTTGCACAATGCAGAGCACCTAGGGGCTACTGTGTGCATAAGAAAAAAACAAACTAAAACAAAGAGCTCCAGAGAAGAACAAAACCCTGTGGGAGGAGCTTCACTCAGGAGGCCATGCACACACCTGGACTTTGAAGTCATTGGGGTTCAGGGAAGCATCAAGGAAAATGGAAGTTTTTAACATGGAGAATGGTGTGACCCGAGGCAGGGATATGAGTGTCATGCTCTTCTGACAAGTAGATCTTACTCAATTGCAGAAGACTTATATGGAGATGGAGAGAGAACACTAGAAATGTCTGGGAAGCAGGCTGTGGTGGGGCCAGTGACCCAGGGTTCATTCCCACAAGCAATAAAGTACCTGCTTCTGAGTGGAAGGGATGGTTTTAGGAGATTTGCTTAGTTGAGGTTGGCAGGATGGCTTGAAGCGGGGTGACTAGAAGACAGAGAAATCCACTGGGAAGCTGATGTATCAGTTGAGGTGGACAGTGATGAGGGTTTGAGTGGGGGTGGTGAACATGGACATGAAAAGGAGAAACGGAATCCCAATCACATTAAGAATAAAGTGATGAGGACAGAATCCCAGACTTTCTATGTTGCTTTTGTTGGTTGTACTTCCTAGTTTGGGAGCTAGTCAAGTAGAATATCCTGAGGCCCTTTTGGTATGAATGTTGACCAGAAACACCAAGTCAGAATAAGGAGGCTAATCCCATATGGCCCCTGGCTTAGATTTAAACTCAATTTTTAGCAGGTATACCTCCCAGGCCTACCATTATTGCCTTTGGTACAAAGGTTTCCTTTATTCTAATTTTTCCTCTTGTTTTTCCTCTTAAAATAGACTCTGTCAAGAAGAATTTCCAATCCGTACCTTGAACATACTCCTCAGGTATGATTTTTCAGTTTTCTTTCTCTTACTGCATTTTCTGTAACAATGACTCACAAATTCTGGTGCAGAATTCTTCAGTTATTGCTGTTGCCTCTGCTCCTGACCTCATAGGGTTTTGCAAAGATTCTGCAATGATCACATTTTCTACCTACCAGGGATGACACAGGGAAAGTTTTTGAGATGCTCTGTTCATAGTGTCATGATGCAGGATGTTCACAGGATGGGTGTGGGTAATTCTTGTTTTCTATACCCTTTATATGGATGCATTATCGATGTGGCAGAGTAAATATGTAATATATTTTTCAATTTTTTATATTGATAGAAATGGCATATTTTGCAAATAGTGAGGAGTTTACACTGAAAACTATGTAAAATGTATGTGTATAGTTATCTACTGGAGGGATACATCCAGTATGCTCAGTGCTGAGAAAAGATAGGGACATCTTTTCTGTGTTGCATTAAAGAATTAGTTTACAAACATTTACATTCCCTAGGATACCAGGAGACTGAGTTTTCTGAGGGCTAGGATGTTTTCTACCTTGTTCCCCACTGTAACTGCAGCATCTAGAAAAGACCTGACATTGGCAGCTGCTCAATCAATGTCTCTTGAATGACTGATTGAATGAAGCTTCTGTGATGTCGGGACAAGTCAAGTGTCAACTGACTCATACTTCTTCCTTGGTAATACTTTCTGTCATATGACTTGTTCCAAGTTTTGATTTTTTTAAAAAATATGTTAACATGTTAAAGCTAAATCATTTCTTGCCCTTTTCACTTTCTCATCAGGTTGCATTTTGGTGATAGTATTGGGATAATTAAAGAAGTATAAGGACAGGGTTAACATGTTCCGTGTCAAGTCATTATCAAGAGATTATCAATTTATTTGCTTCAAGAGAAGACATAAATGTTTTATAGGTTCTAAAAGAGTTCACCAATAGGACTGGGGACATAGCCACATGGTAGATTGCTTGCCTAGTAGGCATGAGCCTGGGGTTCAATCCCCAGCACCACCACCAAAACAACAACAACAACAAAAAATTTACCAGTAAACATTTAAAAAGATGTAAGCTTGCACCTACCAACATTTACAAATTTTCATGAGTATTTATGTTATGCAGATAGCTCATTTTCATTTAGCCTCCTTTGCTTATGTGCTGCTATAGAGGAAGGTGCAATTAGAAAGGAAGAAGTTTTAAAAAGTAGGACCTAGACTTCTCCAGAGCTGAGAAGTAGCCTCCTTCATCTCTAAGAATCAGAGGCTCACATGAGGGAATTAAAAGATTAAAAAAGAAGCTAAATGAAATTTTTATCTGATAGATGGAATTGTGAAATACTATAGATGGAACCAAGATGCTTGGAATTAGCTGTGAGTTCAGCAGTTGAATATCACTTCAAAGCAAAGCAGCCTGCTGTCAAATTGTGTCATGGTTCAAGATGTTCACTGAATAAGGAAAAAAATTATTTTCTCATCTTCTAAGACCTTTATATGAATGCATTATCAATATGGTAGAGTTAGTATATAAATATTCTTCAACTTGCTGCAGTGATAGAAACACTATATTTAAAAAATAGTAGGTGTAAAAAAGCTTTGTGTTTTAAAAGGAAATTATTTATATTTAGGAAAAGAACTTTTAGAATTTGGAAAATAGTTATTATAGCTTAATAGCATAAGTGGACCAGTAGCTAAAATAAAATAAGGTAATTATAGGTCTGTAGCTACATAGGCTAAAATGTGTCTCAAGCTTAGGGATTTGGTCATGATGTTTTATATATAGCATGCTATTGGGAGCTCACACATTGTCACGTTATTGTTCTACATTTACAATGAATGTTTGTCTTTTTCATTCAGATTTATGGAGAGAATTCTTCATGTGCAGGAAGAGCACTGAGAAATATTATTATCGTTCAGGCTGCTGACCTGGTGAAGGACAGAGTGAACCTTAAGGGGTTTTACAGGTAACACAGTTTCTTAACACCATATCAAAAACTTTCCTTCAGGGAGAAAAAAAATACCTCACAAAACAAAACAGCAACAACAAAAACCCAGCTTGTGTTAAATTGTGACCTTGATCATAGAGAGGTGGGTCATATCAGTACCAGCAGTGGAGGGGTTGCTGTGTTCTGTCTGTGGAGGATTCTGGTGATAACTTTTCTTTTGTTAAACTTAATCTTCTGTTTGTTTACCGTAAGGCTCTGGTTCTGAAGTTAGGGTACAGAATACCCAGCTACAAGTGTAGATTCAGTTGTGCTTCCTCTGAGATGTGGTATTTTATATTTTCTTGACTGTGTGTTGTCCTGAAAAATAATTAGAAATACAGGTCCCTTCTTCAAGGATTTAATTACGCTCCTGTGGGGATTCTTTGGCAGTCCGTGAGCAGAGAGAGAGCTGCCTCACCCTCCAGGTGAGAGTGAATTCCATAAAAGGTACTGTTCAAAGTGGGGAGAGGCAGATTGGTGGAACATGAGGCTTACCCACCCTGCTAGTGAGTAAGGGCAGAGATATATTCAAGTAAGCAAGTAGGTTCTTGGCCAAGTTTAGAGTAAAACTGGACCAATAGTGTGATTCCTTACAAAGTTTGGAGCACATGTTTGCAATTTACGGAAAGCCAAAAGTGGATTATCAGCTCTTTATTTTGCCAGGTGAAGATATGAAGCCATACCAAATGATAACAGAAGAAAATTATAAAAATAAAACAAATAGAAACTACTATCATTTATTATCACTCTTCTTTAAGAAATGACATTTTAATACCATAAAGAATAGGAACAGTACTCAGAATAAATGTGTACATAAAAAGGAGATGTATTCTCAGAATAAAGGATGTTCTTTTCAGTTAAATAAATTTAGCTTTATGAAAAATTCATATTTATAATATTCCTGTTTTTTCCACTGGCCACAGATGGGAAACATTTCATCATGGCCTGGATTCTGGGGATAGCAATACTTAGGCTATTGGAAGAAGAGGACTTTTTTAAATTGAGGCATAAATTATATACAATAAAATGCACAAGTCTTAAGTATGCATCTTGATAAGTTTTTTATTTATTGTATACTTATGTAATCATTATCTGTGTAACCACTGTGAAGATGTAGAGTATTTTCATGTCTTAGAAAGTTCCTTCAGGCCTTTAAACAGTAACTTTTCCTTGCAACCAACCATTTTTTTTTAATATAAAAAATTTGGCAGATTATGTATTCTTAGGAGCCATTAATTAAGAAAATACAAAGTGTGGGGAGGAACCACAATGAATTAACCCTTTAAGGTCCTGTATTAAATCACATAAGGCTTTATGTAAGTTTTGAAAAGATGCTATCGGCTAAACACGACCTGTTCTGTTTATGAACAATGCTTTTGCATATTTGGATTCATGAACATCTTGAAAAAGCTCCATTATGTCCTGTTCTTTTCATTTGAAATTCATAGCCCAAAGTGTGAGAATTACTAGTTCATAGCCCAGGCCACATCAACAGGACAGGAAACAAGAGGGGCTGTGGTAGTTGTACTACTTCATATAGAATCTATTTCTGTCTGTCTGTCTACCTGTCTTTCTCTGATTCATTTATTCAGTAGGTGATGGTATTAACTTTGGGCCCATCTGACTTGTTAAAAAAGCAAAATCATACCTGTGAGTCTTGGGATCTAGTTGTGAGTAAGCTCATAGGATTCCTTTCAGTTACTGCATAGGCTATGTGTAAGAGCTATCATTGTTCCTATTGTTATTTTCATTTGTTGAGATCTCCATGGATGTAGATTGAAAAGGGAATTGGGAGATGTATGTTAATCAGGAAAAAGAGCCATCTACCCAAGTTAGAACAGTTAGAATTTAGTGAGAACAGAGCCTGGAGTGTGTGTTTTGCTATGACTGGAACAGAACGACTTTTCTTTTATAATCTAAAGACTGATTAATGTACTGAGTTTAAAGATGAAGTGCTAGTATGATTGCTTTGAGTGGATCATTTTCATTTGTCTGGTAGTAAATTGAAGTAAAGTGTTCTCCATGTACTATGTAAGAATCCACTTTCAAGACTTTGAAAAGTTTTCTATTCATTTCATACTGTAGGAGGAGTCCCACTGGCTTCTGAGACTTCATTTCCTTTGCATAAATAAGTCACTAAATACCACCATCCCACTTACATTTGAGGTTAGCATATGCATTACTGTTACTTAATTGCTAAAATTGTAATGGGAGAGAGGAGGAGGCCAAGAAAAAACAAATTTTCCACTCCAGAGATTAGTAAAATTCATGTTTTGTTATAGCAATCACAGAGCTTTGCAGCTCCAGCACCTCTATATCACAGTGTTCCTACCTAGAATTGCAACTGTAGTTAGATATGCATGTACCAGGAAAAATTTCTGGATTGAATACGAGTCTGAAAATACACTGCGGGTAAAAACTGCTGTCAGTAATGAAGTTGCTCTATTTCAACATCTCTGTTTATTTTCTCACTGCTCTTCCTGTGCTGAGATGATGATATTTTGACCTGATTATTGCAGACTTGGTCAGCAATTCAGGGGTCTAGGTATTAAATGCAGAGGCGATTTGCCTCATTTTGTTTGCTTTAGTGATATTAATGATAGTGCTTATCATTATCCCTCATGTTTTCCCTGGTACAGGTGGATGGTTGAAAGTGATTTAAACATAATATGATAGAATTAGGGGAAGTGTAGAAAAGGATCACATGCAAAGGAAACAGTAGCTTATCTGAAGGGGAGGCACAGTATCCATTAAGATTGTCACAGTAATACCATGTTCTAGACTATGGGCTTAGAGCCCTGTCCTCCAAACAGGTTGAGCCTTTCCCAAAGAGAAGGGAAAGGTGGGAGATTGGGGCTTTGTGGTCAACAGTATCACTTGAGGGCTGATTAGGAGTGGGGCTCTCAGGTCCCACACAGCCTTTAGAATCTTACTTTAACAAGATTCCCCTTCCCTCCCGGATGACTCCTCAGCAAAATTCTGAGAAGCCTGGTCTACATCACCATTGCACAAGCAGATGTATCCATATAGCTACCTTTTGCAGTTTGGTGGTTTGTTTAGTAAATAAATGTTTTATTGTGTGGTTCTGTATTCCAAGTGATGTCATACACTCAGCAGGCTGAGAAGCTGCATTGTTTTGAGAAAATGAATTCAGATGATACAGCATTTAATCCACAGGACAAAATTGCTCTCAAAGCCAGAGACACTGGTTAATTGAGAGAGGCGTTGAGGAATTAGTTAATTAACACTTTGAACCTTGAACATCAAAGGTGTCCTGTAAAATTAGAAGTTAATATCAACCATTTGATCTAATTGCCTCTTTTGTTGATATCTGTTTTCTCATTTTGTTTAAAAAACATCTGTATATTTGACTTTTAATCTTTCTGTTGTCTTCATGTTAACTTGCAAGTGAACACGTCTGAAACTGGCTTATGTGCCTTAGATTATCTTTTCCATAGTGACACTTTACCCCAAAACATGCTTCATCAAAAGCTAGAATATCTGACCAAGTATCTCAGCAGAGAAGTTTATTACCTATTTTCCTTTGTCCCTGAAAACATAGCACCTCATAGCAGTCCTATGTATTGTCAGTTAGGTATGATTCCAAGATATATGTGACCATGCCAATCATGAGAGATAGAAAAAATGTACTTCTATTTTAGGAATACAAATAAATAATGACATCTCTGGTCCTTCAATACTGACTATAGACTAAAGATCGCCAATACATGATGCCACTCTTTTTAATTTTCTTTCTTTTTTCTCTTTTTAACATTTTAATATAATTCCACCCTCTTTTTTCATAACAAAGGGTGGAATTCAATGACATTTCTGCAAATGAAGAAGCATATTTCAGAAAGTTTTGTTTTTACACTGAGGCTGATACTGATGGAAAAGTAGGCATGAAGATACTGTTTGTAGTAACCAGGCTGTGGCATATTATGTTTTAAGACAGAGTACAAAGAAGGTGTTTTATGTTTGGTTACACATATAGCTGGATCTATGGACTTATGATCTAGGCTATTTAACTAGATTGTTTAAATTATATTAGAAAGATGCATAATCAAATTTGTTGCTTGAGACAAATTTTGGGGCTTAATCTTGGAAGAATCATAAATAAAACTATTTTCACCTGCTGTGGTTACAATTTTGTCCCGCCTTCTAGGAATTATTTTGTTCTCAAAGGGACTAAATAAAAATCTACAAATGGTTGAACCAGAGTTTATCACCACCAACTTGAAGAGTGTGGCTTTACCAGGGCAGAAGCACTATGTATATAAAGGGCTGCTAAATTTATTCCTTTATTTACTCAAACATTATGAACTTATTTTGAGAACTTACTTTGTGCCTCAGGCTTTGTAATTGTTGGGGATTCACAGTAAGTTGTACAAAGTCAACTATTTTCCTAAAAATTATTTTCTGGAGGCAGAAACAAATATTATTCACTTGAAAAGATGTAGGATTACTACATAAAGGTAATTTGAAGAAAAACTATAAGAGGATTTAAGTTTTCCTAAGAAGTGATATTTAAGCATTAATCTGAAAGATGAATAAGAGGTTATGTCATTTGTTCTTGGCTTGCTTGAACAAATGTTTAAAAAAACAAGAATATGAAAGGAAATGACATTATACATAACATATTTATTTATTTAGAGGAAAATATGGGGCCAATTTCTCATTATGAATGGCTTTGCTTTTGTCCAGGAGGAGCTGTGTTGGGTCAGAACTAGTTGACTGGCTTCTCGAACATTGTCCTTTTGTCCAGTGCAGATCTATGGCCATAGGAGTCTGGCAGCTCCTACTAGACATGGGAATCATGTCATCAGGTTAGTATTATATACTTTATTAAGCTGTTTGACCAAAATATATGTTTCTAGAGGATGTCACAACCTGGATGGAAATTGTTTTTGAAGGTAAATATCTACAATCCTTTTTTTTTCTAATCAAAAGTACCAAGTCATCTTCTGATTCACTTATTTTTATTCACACGTTCTAAAAGAATAATTAGGAACTTGTTGATTTAGAGACTAATACCTGTAAAAGGTCTTTCCCTCACCCTCTCCTTTCTCTACTCAAGATTCTACTCACAAAGTTTTTTAATCAGTGACATCTTTAGTTGCTTGCTCTGAATGTATTATTTATCTTGCTGTACTTAATCATCAGAAACTGATTTTGTGAGTGGGACGTGTATGCCATTTTAACTAAGTAATTATGAATGCTTCGAGATATGACCTATGAAGATTAGCTGTTTAAACAGGATAGAAAATAGATGGTGATATCTCTTTTCTTAGTCGAGCCCAGGGAATTGAAAGATTAGAAACCTAGCAATCTGGATTCTTTAGTGCAAATCTCTCAGGTGCTGGCTCATCACTGAGAAGTCTTTTTTTCTTTTTCTTTATAGGTAATGAATTTTGAGAGCATACCCCTGGTGCCATTGTGAAAGAGTGGTACAGATGGGGACATGGTTGTAATCTTCTTAGTCAATAATACCTAGCACCTAATACTCTTATTTAGAAAACCAGTTAACTGCTTTTGTGGAATGGAGGTATTATCAGCTCACTTGCTAGGTTCAGCCTTCTGGTTAATAGAACATTCATTTTGTGTTAATGTTTTTTTGGAAAAGTCTACAACTTATAATTCCTTCACTTGTGGGTTTCCAACCATGTTAGTAATGACATTTTGGATCAGGCAAGTCTATGTTGCAGATGCTATCCTGTATGTAATAGAATTTGTGCAGCATCCCTTTCTTCTGCCTTCTAAGTGCCATAATCACAAACACACACTAGAGTTATGACAACCAAAAATGTCTATAGACATCACCAAATGTCTTCTGAGGGGGGCACAGTCACACCTAGTTGAGAACCATGAATCTTGCTAACTTAAAACTTGCTGTCATATAGTAATTGGGTGTCAGTGAAGAATTAAATATATTAGCTTGTTTTTGGACACTGAAAAACATTTCTTGCCATCCTCTTTGAGTCAGTATTGATTTTATTGACATTTGTCTCTGAAGCAGAAGAATTATCAAAATCTTGTGAATATGCTGGCAAAACTTCAAGTAATCAAAATAGACTAGCCAATAAATCCTTTTCAATTCAATGGGATAGTGAACATGAATGAGCTTACAATGTAGAATCATAGTCTTACCTCTGGCTTCTCCTTAATAATTATTGGGTTTTCAATTTATTGTTTTATTTTGATTGTCTAAACTATATACTTAAAAAAAACTGATCCATATCTTTTTTTTTTAATTTCAAACAGTGGACCAGCATCTGTATTTTCAAGATACTTATGTTTTCTACCAGTTTTCATCCGATGAATGTAGCTACCTGTACTGTGAATTTGAAAGAGAAGAAGAATGGCAAAATGGCGTCAAACTTCTGTTGCAACTTGTTCCTCTCATTCCTGCTAGAGCTGGCATCTGTGAGCTGTAAGTGGGGGTGATCATGCGCCATTGTTAGATGATTCTTAGAGAATGTGTACTGTGTCCAGAGACTTTGCTGTGCTCTTTAAGATCACTATCCAGTTTAGGAGGTAGTTGTACTATTCCAATTTTTTAAATCAATTTTTAAATTTATATATGACAACAGAATGCATTATAATTCATAATACACATATAGAGCACAAATTTTTCATATATCTGGTTGTAACAAAGTATATTCACACCAATTCGTGTCTTCATACATGTACTTTGGATAATGATGTCTACCATATTCCAAAGAACTATTCCCATTTTTCAGATGCAAGTTCAGAAAGGTAAAATAAATTGCTGAAAATTAAATCCAATTCCAAGACCAATGTGGTGTTTAAGTCCCAGATGTCCGTGCCTCACCAGCTGCACCACACTGCTCCTGATTTACCATTGCTGTATGAGTAGATGATCTAAATTAGGAATAATCATGATTGGGCTTAAATATGAAATGAAATAATAACTCACTTCTTAACCACCATTCCAAGTCGTGACTTTGCTAAGAAAGAGCTCAGCAGACATTTCTGAAAATAATCTAGATGCAATATTTGGCAAATTAAAACACGTGAATCATTATCACATGAAGATACTGAATCACTGTATGATTAAAATTAATTAAAATTAGAAGAGGCTTAGGAACAAAACTTTAGCTGTGATATGGAGACTTTGCCATGCCTTTGTTTATAGTGACAGTGACAAGCTTATTTCAGAAATGAGTTACAAATTAAAATTTCAGCTGAAATCTTTTATATACATAGAATATTTCAGGTCATAGAATATATCTCCATATTGTTAACTCCTTCAAGGGCAAATGAAATTATCCTCATTTCTTAGGTAAAAAAGTAGGTTCAGTTCAGATAGACATATCTGTATAATGTAACAGAGGTTAGTTACTCTTATTAATTAAAAGGTGACATTGCTGAATGGTTAATACAGTTTGTTTTTAGGAAATGAAAGTTTCAGGATATTATGAGACACTGTGCTAATAGATTTATTGAAGAGAATATATTTTATGTCAGGTACTGTGCTAAATAAATGCCTTATGTTCCATATTTCACTTTCAGAAGATTTCCATAAGACAGATACTGTTATTATCCCAATTTATAAGTGAAGAAACTGAGGCACGGGGACCAAGTAACCAGTACAAGTCACACAAAAGTAGCAAGCACAGAGTCTCGGTGTTTGGATCCATGTCTTTATAGCTCTAATGTCCCTTCTTTAAACACTTGCTATGGCATCCTTGGAAGTTATGGGGATCATTCTAGTATCCCCTTCTGAAAGAGTATAATCAGAAGCTATGAAAACTGTTTGAGTCGTAAAATGGTATGGATTTTCCCACCACTGCTGTTTATAAAGGCCCTTACAATGAGAAAGCAAAGTTCAATATCACTGAGTAGGCCAAGTACGGAAAATGTTCTTTATTGTAATGTGCTCTTAATAAGGTCAGAAGCATCTAAGAAAAGGCAAAGAGCATGTCAATAAACTTTAGTGAGCTTTCTAAGGAGTGGGATGCTTATAAACCAGAAGTGGTGTACTGGCTTTGACTCGGAGGGACCAGCATTCACTAGTAGCTCTTCTCAACCATTTCCTGTTCTGCACACGAAATGGATATATGTGCAATCCCATGGGTGTGCCCAGATTAACAGGGACAGGAGGGCAGCAGAAAAAACCTTGCAAGAAGTCTTTGTGATTTAACACTACCTCCTTCTTCCCACCTCAGAAAGCAAATCTGAATGTCAGTGGGTGAGATGACAGTTCTGTGGAAAGCCTGAGTCTCTTCTAATTTCTAAAAATGAAAATACTTTTAAAATTTGAGCTCTAATATGAATTGCAGATGAGTTGCATCTTTTGTCACACTGATCACTTTGGACACAAATGTCAGCTTCTGGAGTTGAGAATCACCATAGCATGCCATGTTTATCAGCAAGTTTTTGCTGTTGGTGTGAACATGTGCTTTTGTGAGTGATCACTGACTCCTGCAGACAAATGGTCACTGGGGACCTATGAACCCTTCTGTCTCCCTTATTATAAGTATTAAATATAAAAAGATAAAATTATTGGAGTGGAGAGAGAGAATTTTTTCCCCTGTGATAGAATTATAAATCAATTCGTGTAATGGTAGAATGTAGTTGATTAAATTTTGGGAAGCCAGGATTCTGTTTATGTAGATTTGGAATGAACTATGGTCAGGGACACTGTCCTCTGACATTTGCATTGTCAAAACTCTTGGCATGGTTCCATACCTATGTTTCCATCCTAACTCCTGCTCTGACCTGGCAATCTCAACCTCTTCAGCCTCTGGCCCACACCAGTTACTCCTCCTGTGATGTGATGCTCTTGCTCTCTCCTCTGCCTCTGTCCTTGTGAGTTAAATTCTACCCAACCCTCAAGGGGGAGCCCAAGTCCTACCTTGACCACAAAACCTTCATAATGTCTCTGATCTGCATTGATCTTTTTTTGGGTAACTTATTGCTCTTGTTCTTTGTAATAAAAAAATAAATAAAAATAAAAACATTTAAATCCACTCTTCTGTGTCACTCTTAGCTGTATGTTGTTTCATTTTGATCCATTCTACTTAAATCCCTCTGGATTCTTATATTGTTCATTCATGTTGTTTATTTATGGGCTGAAAACCTTTTTCTTTTTAATAAGCTTTTTGATATTCAGGAGCTATTAGTGTCTACCTATTAGGTCCCTCTAATTTGCCATCTTCTCTCTGTCTTTCAAATAATTTGAGAGAACCACTTAATGTCTCTATGTAAACACAATTCTGTTCTATACAAATGCATTTCTAAAAGAGAAAAAAATAAAGAGGATTTCTTTTTTTTTAATTTAAAAAAGAATGTTTAAAGTAGGAGGGAAAATGAAGCTGCTTCAAGTTTCCAGGCTAGTTTGAGGGAACAAAATTTCTGTTCTAAACAAAATAACTTTTATACCCCAACTAAATAGATAATTCAAAAGGAGAGAATTGGTTGTCAAGGGTGCTATCGTGGGCAAAGAGAACAGTCATGGTTCCTCATTCAGACTGACAGCCAAGTCAAGTTACCCAGGGTGTACTTTTTCTAAACTCTGCTTTTGTGTTTTGGGTAGGAGGAGAGGAAGAATCGATGAAGAATGAAGAAGTAACAGTGTAGAGAGGCAGCCTATTCATTCCTTCAGGACCAGGAAGATGTTTCTCTCCAACATTAACTTACTTGAGGATCTAGGCCAAGGATCTAGGCCTTTATGGCAGCTCCCAACTCACCAGGTGTGAGAGGGGCAGGCATCTGAGCAGACAGAGCCTGTGATCCTTGGATATATAAAAATCTTTCCAGTTACAGAGCAATTGATGCTTATGCTATTATTAAAAGACTTGTAGAGGGTTGCCGAAATTGAACTCAGGTTGCACTTAGATATGTAAAGAAAAAAATATAGCTTCTGTGTCTTTTACTAGTGGGATCTTGTGTTTGTTGTCTATATGAGCCACCATCCCATTGGGTAGTCAGAAGGAGAAGAAGTCCCAAATTTTTGTCCAATCCAGTAAAATCATTTTAATATAGTAATTTTTAAAAATCTTTTTTAAACCACTGACCATGTTTTGGTACAAGAGCTCAGTCTCTCAGCATCTTGCTCTGCTCCTCAACTAGACATCATCCAGAGACATGATGAGTGGTGTGGGTCCCTGGACCCCTCGTTCTTGACAGCGGAAGACATGGGAGGCTTTCCTGTCCCAGCTGATACTTTCTCTACTGAAAGTGTCACTGTTCTGTGCACAGGTCTACATGTTGCCAAATGCAGTGGTTGATTTTCAGTCCTCGTCTTACTTGACAGGCCAGCGTCCCGTGGCACACCTGATCACTGCCTTCTGGAAGCAGACTTTCCACTTGGCATCCTTGGTTCTTTTATCCCACTGGCTTCTCTTTTGCAGGCTCCTTGCTTATTCTTCCTCTTCCTACAGCTTCAATGCTCTGATGGCTTGCTGACTCTGGAGAGACTGCCCCATTCAAAGATAGTCAATTTCTAGAGACAACTCCTGCAAGCTTACCTTTTATATGCAGATCAACCAATCCTAGCCCAGCCTTCTTCCACCTCAGGGCCACTTTCCACCTCCCTAATCACCCCAGGCTCAGGTACCAGGCAACTAAGGGCAGCCTCTATGCCCCAGGGCCTGGTGAAATTATTCAAACTAGTCAGATCCCAGCCTGTATATCCTACCTCATCTGGTATGGCTTGTGGGAACCACAGAAAATTCATGCTAGCATTTTTCCTGCCTCCTGACTGACCATATGGCCCCTTGGAGTATGTCATTCCCCTTCCTCTTGGGAACTGTAAATCTTTTCAGCGGCAGTCTTCTCTGAATCCAGTGTCCTCTGATTATTCAGGTTGGCCACACCTGAACAATAATAAAACCTGTTTTTAAAATACTGACCTCTAAACACAGAGTGTCCCAGAGCAGTCTTTAGTCTTCTCTGCTTTTCTGTTCCCTCTTTGGATATATCCTCACCCAGTCATGTATTTAATGTCAGCTCTGCAGCAATGGCTCCCAAAATTCAGGTCCCCTTAGCACCCTGTGAAACATGACACCCACCCCCCACTCGCACCTGCGGACTCCCTCACCTCTGCTCTCTTTATGCTCATCCTGCTTAATTTCTCCTTTTCTACCTGACATGGGTAAGCAACATGAGAACTCCACTGGCAGTCTTAGTTTCTGAAAGATGCTGGATTCACACCCTCTGACTGGGTAGCTCAAGTTCAAGTCTGCCATTCCAATGTCCCAAATCTACCATGTATACTTCTGACATTTTCTCATTGGATTCTCATGACACCAGGATAGAAAGCAACACTGTTCAGGTAAACAAATAGTTTTTCAAGTATTTTCCAAAACCTTTTCCATAGTGAAACTCAGCTGAAATTTTGTATTAAGATCTTAGGTGACAAAAATTTCCATCTGTCTTTTTAAATGTTTTTATAGAAAATATTAC